AAAAACCCTTCTCTCTCTCACTTTATGCGTAATTAGATACAGGCAACATCAATTCCCAATACACTATGACTAGATATTGGGACCTTAATCCAAATCCTTGAAGTGTTGGAAAGGCAAACAATTTATAAAATTTCCGCCATAACATTATGCTTCGTATAAAATTTCAATTATAATTGAACTCACATTCAACAATTAATTCCTTAACAATGTCAAATTTGAAAACAAAAAAATCTGAATTTTAGAATTTATGGCTAAAATTCACATCCCATTTTTTTTTTTAAATTCTAATTATGAATTTCAACCCTAAAATTCTTTCTTGAATCTCAATGGTTTAACATAAAGTTGGCTCTGATGCCACTTGTTGAAATTTTATGAAACTTTAAATCTTAATAACATGAAAGCCTAATTACTTTATTACCAAAATCCTCCATGTCAAGTCATCAAGAAAATTAATAATGCGGAACATACCTTAATTCTTTGAGAATGATTATTTATTACTGGATATTGATTCTGAATCTTGAATCTTAAAAATTAACTTGGAATCCCTTCTTGATTGGTTTTTTGCTTTCAATCTTGAATTTTGCCTTCTGGGATTCTTTGATTCTTGTTCTTGGTTTTGCTTCTTGATTCATAATCTTGATTCTCGATTTTAGATTGTATGTTATTGATTGTGGGTTTTGGATCTTCCTCTTCAATATGCATTCTCTCTAAATTCTTGTGTTGATGTGTTGACACAAGAATTAAAAGTTGCACATAAATTGGAGATCATAACGCTATATATAGTTTCCATATATATATTTCGTCTATCATGAAATACAATTCTAAAGAAATTCAGTCTCTACACATATATTTCGGCCCAAACTTTATTTAGATACCCTAAACCCAATTACTTAATTCTTTATTAGTTCACTTTAATTTTGGACTTAACTTTAAAATAATAGTTATATTAATTACATATGATTTTCCAACAAAAGAGTGAAGAAAATCAATTGTGTTAAAATCCAAGTTGATGAAATAGAAGTCAAGCTTTTGAAAAGTGAAGTTGTGGAGTTGGTTAAGAGATGAAAATGAAAGGTTGAAGATGAATGAGAACCTAATGGCTTTGTATTTTACTACATTATATTCGATTTGGGTGTTATGAATTTGAGGAAGGCAATGATTCATGGTGGTTGGTAACTGGAGGGTGGAAGGAAAGATGGTGGCGGTGATGGCGGTGGTGACGGTGGGCAATTTTGGTTGGGTTAGGGGGATTTGGAATGGGCTGGGAAAGAGGAAGTGGGATGGAAAATAAAGTTTTAAGATTAGAAATTGTGGGTGGTACATATAAAAAAATTTGGTATAATTTGTTAAAAAAAGTAAAAAGGTCTAGATACATTAATTGCAATTATTTCAAAGTTTGACATTTTTTTTTGTTTTTAACGATTAATCTAACGAATCTTGCCAGCAAGATGTTTTTCGAACGGGAGGTTTTCTATGATTCCAATACATAGGAATATATTGCACATGAAAACGTTTCTAGAAGGGCTTTGGTTATTAGTCCTAATTATAATCATTATAAAGCAACAACATGATAGAAATATTTTAAACTTTTAGTCGATACTTGTTAGCATGCATCTATGATTGTAATATACGATTCATTCTCTTCATAAAAATAAGAATGTAGTAAGTTGACGTCAAACAATGCGTCAACAGAGTTTCGACGCCTCCCCTCCACATAGGCATGACTTGCACATTGAAGCACACCATTAGACCCTCTCTATCACGCACATGCCACGTAATTGATAGGTTTAACAATAGTCCCTTAAATTTGAGTCGTACTTTCTCATACGGGTTAGACTTTGAAATATAATTTTCCAAGTAGGAGAGATCTTATAGATTGCCTTAGAAATGAGTAGCTCCAAAAAGTGAAGACTTAGGAAATGACTCGAAAAGGAGGTGATCCTTTGGGATCCATTTCTTCTTTGAAGCGCCCAAACTTCCTGCATGGTGGATGGTTGTTCATCTATGTAGGGCATAATATAAGCTTTTTGAAGATAAGTATATATGACGTAGTTGAAGCAAACAAAGCTTTGAAAGATAGGCAGTTGTAATATTGTCGATGTAGAGGTATGATGAGCTCTCTTGAATATAAATGCATTCTTAAATCAACAACTCGTATAGTGAGACATGTTCATAGAGCAAGGAATAAATATCGAGTTGGTAGCTTGCTAGAACTATCGAAAACTTATAAGCTGGCCTTGAGTGGACAGGTCTTATAGCTGGATTCGATGATAGTGAGAGACTAAGAACAAACATTTAGCGAAGCTAGAAATAAGAATTTGGCAAGGTGTGGAATAAAGATTCAAACTATTGGAGTCTTATAAATTGGCCTCAGAATGATGAGGTCTTACACTTAGGCTCGACGATAGTGAGAAACGAGGAATAAACATCTCGCGAAGTCAGGAATAAGCATTTGGAGAGGTGGGAAATAAAGATCCCATGAATAACAACTATCAGAGTATTATAAATTGGCCTCGAAATGACAAGGTATTACAGGTATGCTCGGTAATAGCAGGAGGCGAGAAATAAATATCTCGTGAAACCAAGAATAAGCATTTGGCGAGGTAGAAAATAAACATCACGCGAATAGCTCTCGAACTATTGAAAAATAAATTGGCCTCGGAATGACGAAATCTTACAACTAGGCTCAAAGATAGTGAGAAGCGAGGAATAAACATCATGCGAAGCTAAGAATTAGCATTTGGCAAGGTGGAGAATAAACATTCTGGGATTAGCTGTCGAACTATTTGAGTCTTTTAAACCGACCTAGAAATGACGAGGTCTTACTGTTAAACTCAACGATAATGATAGATTAGTTTATAAGACCCCATCGTGCACATGCCACTTAATTGATAGGTGTAACATAGTACATGAATTCATTAATTATAGTTAAATGATATAAAAATAATAATAAAAGAAAATGAATAAAAAGATCAAATAAGATGATATCTAGCTACTGTAACTTTTTGTGAATTATCTAATGCTTCCACTTCATTCAAATATTGATGAATTACTATAAGTTTTTTTTTGTTATTATGCAATCAATTTTTAGGGCAAATCACTACCTCAACCTTATTTGCACTTAACGAATTCCTATGGAATCAAGAATTCGACTACTAATAAGGAATGTATAGTTAACACATCTTTAGCAATTTGAAGGACAATCCTGTATTTTTTTAAATTCGATTTCCATCAAAGTAACGTCGAAGGATTCATTGGTCAAATGTTCAAAACCACCATATAAGTAATCAATCAAATCGTTCTAGCAATTAACAGTAAAATTTAAAAACTAAATTATAATGTAAATAATTAATTGGGCAACTTGACGAAAATTGAGATGCAAATAAACAAAAAATACTACCGCACAAATTTAAGGGAGATTGACAATAATTAGAACAAAATAACATAATTACCAATAAAACGTAGCAAACAACTACCCAAAAATAATTTTTTTAGATAAACTGATTTGAAAATTTAGATAAAATTTGAAAAAAGTCATTAGTAGAAAGAAATGAAATGTGTAAGTCTGAATTAAAATCTGTATTCAATTGTCGATTCAATTGTAATGGTGGGACAATGAATATGGTTTAGCAGTAGTTATTCAACATTTTATCCTATTTGAGTTTTACATTACAATTGTCAATTTATATATTGAGTTTAATTGAATTATGTCTAATATGGATATATTTTTTTAATTAGAATGTATTTAGTTTATATATATATATATACACACACACACACACACACGTAGAACCAAGCCAACGGTTTCTAAAAAACGATTTCGGTTCAATTTTTTAGTCTGACGATTTCGATGCTCAACCCTACTAGTGATCAATATTGTGTCTCCCTATTTTAATTCATAATTTACTACTTCATTAGTTTATTGGAGGTTAACATATAGTAATTTGGAAGTGTAACTTTTTTTTCCCCTTTGAATTCTTATCTTCAACATTTCGTTAATTAGTACGTCTCATCATTGATGATTTATATTAAAATATTTTGTTTTTATGTCATGAAATGAGAGAAATATTTTTTTTTCATATTATTAAAATATATATATATATATAATGGAAAAATAAGTTCTTTTAAGAAATTCTAACGAATTTTTTGATATAAATTTGTTATCAAATATAAAATATCTTAACTAATGGAATGATTGAGGATAAGAATAATATGAAAAATCGTTACGGACATAAGTTCTATAATAAACAAAGATTATTTTTTTTTCATATTATTAAAATATATATATATATATAATGGAAAAATAAGTTCTTTTAAGAAATTCTAACGAATTTTTTGATATAAATTTGTTATCAAATATAAAATATCTTAACTAATGGAATGATTGAGGATAAGAATAATATGAAAAATCGTTACGGACATAAGTTCTATAATAAACAAAGATTAGGAATCTTAAGTGTAATTAAAATGTAGTGCAATAAATAAAAATTGTGGTGTAAATATAATTACTTATATAAAAATTCTCATATTTATTTTTAATTTTTGAATGATTTGATTTGATTTCAACCTAGAAAATTAGAACACTGAAATCTAAACCATCAAAATCATATCGTTAACAGATCTATGTGGCACCACACCGATAATTTTATAAGGAGATCTAAATTTAGGCACTATAATGTTCATTATTTGGTAAAAAAAATTTTGAATAGTGAATTTTCGGAGAACATGGATTAAAAATTAAAGAAAAATTTTGAATTTACGTGTAAAATATTTTATTGTGAATGTGTGATTAAAAATGAGTATGTTAAAAAAAAAAAAGAATTGAAATAAATTCCATCGAAGGGGCTTAATTCGACGGTTTAACTTTTTATTTGCACCCTTATATCCCAGTAACTAACTAATGTAGTAAATATTATAAAGATAGGTGACTAATTGTTTGTATTTTTAATTTCAGGGACTATAATAGTAAACAATCATGCAATTCCAGAGAACCAGTTCTTCACCATTCTCATCTCCTCTGTTCCACAATACACCCTAAGACTAATCCTTCGAGTCAGTATACTCTCAGAGATGGAGGGTTGGGACTCGACAACGAAATCAACGTTGACCCAGATCCCCTTGCTGTCTGTAAAGGCAGGCCCACGCGATGGCGCAGCGTGGACGCAGCGTTTGAAGGAGGAGTATAAGGCGCTGATTGCCTATACCTCAATGAACAAGGCCAAGGACAACGATTGGTTTCGGATCTCCGCCGCCAATCCGGAGGGGACCCGTTGGACAGGAAAGTGCTGGTACATTCACAATCTCCTCAAGTACGAGTTTGATTTGCAATTCGATATTCCTGTCACTTACCCAGCCACCGCTCCTGAACTCGAGTTACCCCAGCTAGATGGGAAGACGCAAAAGGTTTTTGATTTTGATTTTGATTTTACTTTTTGAGGATTCATTTATCTTATGGATTTTTTATTTTTAATTTTGTGATTGTGATTGTGTTTTTTTAACGTTTTGTTAATTTTAAAATCAATGCAGATGTATCGAGGTGGGAAGATATGCTTGACAGTGCATTTCAAGCCACTATGGGCGAAAAACTGGTAACTTTTATCTTGAATTTTTCTTTTAATTTTGAGTTTTTGATTGAATAGTTGGGATTCACGGTTATCTTATGAACGTTAATTACGTTGTATAGTTTATGCAAATGGCATTTGGGGTGGTATGGATATACGATTGTGAATTTTGTTTCAGGAAAAGATTGAATGTCAATTCTTGCTTATCCATAATTAGATTAGTTTATTTGTTGTGGAAAAAAAAGATCTAAGCATTGCTAGTTTTTCTTACTTAATTTATGGGATACTGTTCGGAATGCATTTTTGTTTATTGTTTTTGTAGGAGCACTTAGGCTGTCTAGATTGAAGATTTGGGGAATGAAAAACAAACTGTAGGGGCGAAATGTGAAAGAATAATTTTTTTGTTGTATTTTCTCGCATTGTTAGTTGAGAACTAGAACTTTGGCGACATTTGGGAAAAAGGTCTTGCTACATCTACATCAAGATTTACATAATGGATTAAATAATGACACGTGGCAATCTACCAAATATAATCAATTTTTTCATCCAATCTTTTTCCTCCACATCATATTATGTAATCCATTATGTAGATTTTTTTATGTACAAGAGTCAAAATTCTTGGGAAATTACTAATGTCCCTTAAAGAAAGTTGTCCTTCACAAGAAGTACGAAACTGTCTATACTTGGCTAATAACCCCAGGGCATAATACTGTCAAAATTAACTTGCATGTGGGTTGAATTATATGTGATGCAGTTTATTAGTCATATTATGAAGGGTGGGACTTAGATCCTACAACTAGTGTACTGAATGGTTTCTTTGTGCTGCCTGGGATAATGTGATGTAGGAGTTTCACCCCCCCGACAGCTTGCCATTGTGCCTTACAAGACCCCAGGAATTGTTTTCCTGTGGAGTAGGGAACCGTCAAACTTGAAAACAAATTTGGGGGTGGGGGATTGTTCCTTGTGTGTGGGGCAGGGTAGATGAAGGTTTTTATACATCTCTTTCCTATATTTTTGATTTGTAAATTGAAGTATATATAGCAATTTTCTGCGAAGGTTTTTATACATCTCTTTCCTATATTTTTTATTTGTAAATTGAAGTATATATAGCAATTTTCTGGATGAAGAACTTGTAGTTAACATGTGCACTTGATGCTGTAAAAAGGTTGTAATATTAAAAAAAGTTAAGAAAGGGAGACAATATTTGGTTTGAAAAAGCTAGGTAGAGGCTGTACCAAGTGAAAGTAAAAGCATACTCTAAAGCAAAAAGCAATAGAAGAACTATCTCTGTAAATCTTTTTGCTCGCTGCTGCTTCACGCAAATGAGAACTACAAGATGATTATGAGCAGCTTGTAATTTTTTATTTTTTTTGTACGTCAGCAGACTCGATCTATTCTTACAAGGGGTTAAAGGTCTCATTTAATTTTAACTGCCTGAACAGGACGTAGACATGGTTGTTTACTAGCAACTAGAAAGGTGTTTAAACACAAAACAAAAGCAAGCTACCAAACTTATATTTTAAAAAAATAATAATAATAAAAATAAAAAATAATAATAATAATAATAATAATAATAATTAATCAATAAGTTTATAAAATTCTATTTGCTAGTTGACATCAAAGAAAAAACCAATTTATTTCTAAAATGTATATCACTTTGTTTAAGAAATATAAATCCATGCCTAATAAGTTATTAAGACTTTGTACCTTTGTGAGGCTAGGGATGAGCTCCAAGAGATTTAGGACATAAACCTCAAAACAAACCAATAAAATAATACAAAAAGTTTGTAGGCATCCATGGTCAGATAAAAGGATCCTGCTTTGGCCTTAGTACCTGACCTTGAAAATGCCTGGCAAGTCAAAATTGAAGTTGAATAATGCTGTGTACATCTGGGGCTGACACCCCAGATGACACTTCCGGCACATGGTGGGGGGCGATTACTTTATTTGATGCGGCTACAGGGAGTGTCATCCAGGGTGTTAACCCCGGATCTACACATAGCAGAATTGTTCTAAATTTATATAAAATCTAGCTATCTGAACCAAAAAGGTCAGTTTACTACTGTCTAAACATTACATTGGTATAGATATTGGGAGGAGTTAATTGTTTCAATAATCATCCAACTTATACTATGATCACGGTTTATTTACTAAACTTCAAAATGCTTCACATTACTCACTGAATTTTATCCATTTGCTCTCCATCCATCACTCTCAAAAATCCATTATCTTATTTGCTGACGTGGCTAACGAAAATTTGATGTGTCAAGTTACAGCTATTAAAAAATTACAAATCAATTGAATGATTGTTTTATCACTCATCGAACGTACATTTGGTCGGAGTTTACTCATCAAATTTCAAAATACTTTCCAATGGTCACTTATCTTTGGGATGTTGGATTCCATCAATCGTCGACATATTTCGTTCCCTTCAAGTTTAATGTTCGCATAGAAATTCCACATAGTAAGTTACAAATGTTAAAAAAATTACAACTCAACAAAACTATCAACTTACTGGAATCACCATATGTGAAACATGACTTCCACGGCCCCATAAAACTTTTTTAAAACCCAATAAAGCTTCCCCAATGAGTCTTTTAGAAAATATCGCTTTTCCAATTCAAACATTTATTGTGTGAAAAAATAGGTTTCAATCTAAAGCTGAAAATCCAAAGTTTAACTTGTTTGATTGGAAATTGGTTTCTGATTGCATCCAATTGATCATATGTGATCTTCAATCATAGTTTTGTGTTTCGATTATACTTTATCTATATTTCACCCTTTTCTCGTTTATTGTCTCCAATTCCGTCAATTTCATCGATTTTTACCTAACGAATACAATATATATAGAATTTAGCCATAATTTATTAAAATATACAATTAATGCTCTAATTTAAGAGGCCTAAATAAGTGTAACATAAAGCACTTATCACTAGGTTTTTTAGGGTTGAAATTGGGGACTTTTTTTAGGTTTTAAAGAAGTTCATACGGGCGTGGTAGTCATGTTTCACATATGGTGATTTTTGTGCATTGATAGCTTGGTTGAGTTGTAATTTTTTTATGCTTGTACTTTTGAAATTTTCGTACAATAAATTAGCAACGAAGTGAACAAAATATGGCGGATAATGGATTTAGTGCAATATCTCAAAGATGAGTGACCATTGGAAAGCATTTTAAAGTACGATGATTAAACTGTGACCTGGTGTAAGTTGGATGACTGATGAAACAATGATTTGGCTAATTTGTAATTTTTTAATGGTCGTAACTTGACACATCATATTTCTGTTAGCCATGTCAGCAAATAAGATAAAGAATTTTTGAGGGTGATGGATAGAGTGTAAACAGACAAAGTTTAATGAACATTGTGAAACACTTTGAAGTTTAGTGAGTAAACCGTGATTATGGCATAAATTGGGTAATTATTGAAACAATTAACTCTCGGAGAAGAGAGGGGGAGGATATTAAAATGCTTTGTTGGCGGATGGAAGGAATGAAGAACAAAAGCTTATGAGCTTATAATTTGCATGATTTTTGTATAAATGCTCCTATGAAGCCCCATCAAGCAAATTGGAATGAGGGTGTTACAATAGTTTATTCATAATTCATATCAATTATGTGCTATATTTGCAAATGTAGAATTAGAAGTGATTATACATAACACACACGCAACATTGTACAAAGATAACATGATGAATGGTGCCAGTATCTTGTGAGCTAAAGTAAATTTTATATGCATTAATATATGAAGTTTCCTTAAAGATGTCTATTATGGCCATTTTGATAAAAGCTCTATATTCTCATATCGGTTCTGACACTGGATTTTGCTTTTCCAGCCCTAGGTTTGGAATAGCACATGCACTTTGTCTAGGCCTTGCACCATGGCTAGCAGCAGAAATCCCAATTCTAGTTGATTCTGGCATGATTAAGCACAAAGATGATGCATCCTCATCCAATGAATCTTGAAGACAATCCTCTGAGTTTAGGGGCTGATAGAATAAATTTTAACTTTTGCGAATTTTGTCATGAGCAACTTAGCTCATGATTTATTACTTTTGATAAATCCTCCATTGCTAATTATTTGTGTGAAGTTGTAATTTTGTCATATATAGATGGAAATATATTTTGGCTGAAGGTTAAATTATATATCTGGTGAAGTTTTTTGCAGTATCAATTTGAACGTCTGTAAGGTGGATGCCTTGCAAGTTTGATGTTTTCGAGTGGTTTTTATTTATTTATTATTCATTTTTTTATTTTTTTTGCTTGTGATCTATGATTTATCATTATAACAAGGATACCATGTCCATCCTGGTGCCTTCCTAGGGAAGTGATGTTATCTTGACTCTGATGATTTCTGATTTCTTGTGGCAAAACAGAGTTCTTCATAGCAACATTTGGACTGTGATATTAGTGGTTAGAAATATCTCGAATTTCAAAGGTACAAACTGATGTTATTGTAGGAGTCACGAGAGTACTGGAACAACATCTATGGCAATGCTGCATCATGCCAACATGCTATCAAGCATCATACTTTGGAGCTTGAATGCCGATATTGAGATTGATGCCAACCGCATTCTAGCTTTTACACTACTTCTGGACTTTTATATTTATTTTCCTTCATCTTTTACAGGATGGATATCAAGCAGGAGGCATCTTGGCAAGTTGAGGAAGGGAATGAACTGAACCAATAAGTTACCTCATATATGAGACCAAAAATAAAAAATAAAAAATTCGGAGAATATTTTCTTCCTTACTTCCTTGCCCATTTATGTGTTATATTAGATTTTAAGACATTGAGGACAATGTCTAATTTAAGTTTAAGAATGAAAAACATTGAGTTTTTAGTTTTTGTATGTGATTGTGTGTTTATTGCTTTATTATATATGAGAAAAATAAAAATAAAAAATGCATTTTTTTTTATTTTTCCAAAAATTCAAAAATGTTTTCCTTATTTATTGTGTGCTTGTGTGGGTTAGGTAACTTTGTCAACAATGACGAAAATATATTTGAAATTTTGTGTTTATTTATGAACCATGGATATGTTACATGCTTATATTAATTGATTTTTATCCATGTAAAACTTAATAGTGCTTGTACACTTGAATTAAATTTAACATTATAAAGTAAGGTGTTGATTCATATGTATGATAGGTTGAAATATTTGAATTTAGATGCCAAATCAAAAAATTATTACATTATACAATTCTTATACCAAATTTAGCATAACTAGGAGATAATTAAATTGTTATAGGAAGATATTGATATGAATGAGGATTCTATGTGCGTAAATTCTTGTGTGGATTGTCTAAGGCTTACAAGATGAAAGTCAGGTAAAAATCTTAAGCTATGGGTTGATTTTTGAGAATGAGTATTTAATAAGGGACATTGAACTAATCATTGCATAAAAAAGGAAAAAAGGGAAGAGTTATCTCATTGTAAACGTCTTTTCATAGCATAGATGACTTGAGTGATTAAGTCTATGTGAACGTTTGAAACTTGGTGCCCTATGGTCATTCGATTTGGGAGTCATCAATTGAAAGCTCGTTATAAAGATCATTTAGAAAGTTTAACGAAGAAAAGCCCGCATATATGATAAGTGAAAAAAGGAAAAAAAGAAGCAAATATAAAAAAAAGTATGTGCATGAAAGAGAAGATGCATTACATGTTTTGGTTAAGTCTCAAACATTTATTTGAGAAAATTAGATATTTGACAAGACATTATTAGCTTAGTTGAGTCTTGAAGGTTGACGCAATAAAAAAATTTGGAGAATCCTTATTTGTTAAAATATTGACTTGTAATTAGTGAGATTCATCTAAATTATAGAGGATAATGAGTTAGTATAAAGATTCAATCTTAGATCACACATTAGGAAATGAGTAAAAAGAACAAGTTCGGAAGTGTGTAAATTTTACGAGAGTTGAAAGAAAAAATTTGATCATCAAGGATCGGGAATTGAAACAACTCATAAATTTATAATGTTTTACTTAATTCTTTTGTCACACAATTCAATTTTGCATTGGAGAAGTTGATGTTGATTTTTGTAATGTGACCTTGAAGTGGTCTATAGATTTAATACATCGATTCCAATCTTGAGACATAACGGCAAGTTATCTAACTAAAATTTTTTGCATGTTTGTTGTTAGTTAAGTTAAGTTATAGTTTTGTTTGGGGACAAACAAATGTTTAAATTCAAGGGTGTTTGATCCAGGATTTATAATATTGACATTTCATTGTTCTTTTGTTAAATTATAGCCTAATTTTGCATATATTCCATTTATTAGGAGAAACTCGATGATTGGACTTGAAATTAGAGGAGAAGAGTGAAAACAGCGAAAAATGGTGAAATTCAAAGTTTGAGGGTCAAATTGTAAATATTCAACAGTTGATTCGAACAACAAGATGATACTTGAAGATTGCTAGGAGTCAATTGGATACAATTAGAAGTCAAGGATGAATGAAATATGATCAAAATATTATCAAAAATCAATTTTCATTCATATTCCAGATTTTTAGCCAAAGATTGAGACCCATTTTTAGCATAGTAATTTTATTTCTATCATAGCTGTAGCTCTTAGAGTTTTTTTTTTTTTTAATGCACTTTGAATTACCTCAATATGATAATGGGAAAGAAAGTTATGATCAAAATACTGATGATGTGCAAAGACAAAAAACATATGCTTTTGAAGACAACTTTTTTTTATTCGATTGTAACTCTTTTAGAAATCAATTTGAAAGTCATTTTCGACCAATTTTCAGCTCCTACAAATTCCTAACAGTAGAATATATTACAGACACTTCTCATATACATATCATATACCAAAATTCATCAATTAACATCATCAAAGAGAGGCCATTCTATTGTTCTTGTGAGAATTAAATGGCAATTATAAGTTTTTAAAAAATTGAAATTTCAACCTGGATTTTTGGAGAGACAACAAGAAGATTAGAGATTCATTAAGAAACCATTGAAGATATTCAAGATTTCAACATTCTTTTTCTTCTTCTCCTTCATCAATCTAAAATCCAAATTCGGGCTATATTCTTCCAATTAAAAATGTTTTCTTGTGATTTTGTAAAACTAGGCTAGGGTTTTAATTACTAAGATATTGATGAATCCTTATTATGATATTTTCATATAAATTTGATAATTTGACGTTTAATATGTGTTTATTCTTACATGATATTTATAGGATTTAATTACTTTTCAATTACTTGATCACTAATTGGATTGTTTGTGAATTTTATTCATTTCGAGAGAAACAAGAGGATAGAAAGCACGTTATAATATCCATTGTAAAGTTCAATAGATGGTAGAGATATACCACTATTCTTTGCATGATTCTATAGAGCGTTTTTAATGCATACTTTCATGTTTGCATCTTTCATAGAAATATAAGAAGGTCACATGAGAGTATATATATTTGATTGATATCGATAAATACTTTTAATTAACTTAGGAACATTGACCAACAAGAATTTGCATATATTGTCATGTTATTAATTTGCATTAAAAGTATTAATATGGGGGGTTCTAGGTTTTAGTAATATCCAATCGAAATTTTCAAAACTTTCATAACTTGCTCATTATTATTATCAGTTTAATTACATAAATTAGTATAAATCATTCAAGTAACTTTGTCTCTATTCATTAGAGTTAAAACTAATATATCCTTGATCAAGTACATAATCCTCATGGGAATGATACTTTATTTATCACTTTATTAATTGTCCACGATACTATTCACTTGTGGGAAATTAAATGATCAAATTTTTGGCGTTGTTGCAGAAAATCAAATGGTCAAGTTTTCCTCATTCTCTCTACCTCGACCTTCTCCAAAGAATAAAATATGAGTTAGCCAACATATAAGATGCTAGCATTTCCATTTTGAAAATCGAAACTGATGAGAAACATTTGTAAACTCTAAAAACGTTTCCTAGTTTTTTTCATATATAAGTAAATTTAAAAGCCTTGAGGAAGCTTTATGGGTACTTTTGGAAACATCTGGCCAAAAATTTGATAACATCTCATAGGAATTTGAATAACGCTATATGCAGTCGCTCACTGTGATAGTCGTCCTACGTGGTATATATATGGCTGATAGTTATTTGATGCATTAAATAACTACCTACCATTTATATGTCATATAAAATGACTGTCGCAGTGAGCGATTACGAATAGTATTACTCTAAGAATTTGAACAATATTATGGACTTAATGTCGTTCAACTAAGATTTTAGCTTATTTTTCGAGATTCAATTAAAAATTTACGTAGTTCCAGGCTTTAATTCTTGCACTACAAAAAATTAACAAGTGAATATATTTTGAATCAATGTTGAATAGTTTTTTTTTATTTTTTTCAAATTAAATATCAAAATTATGAAACTAATTACAAGTTTTATACAATACCTCAGTGTCATATTTTTCAAAAAATTACATTTTCAAGTGTTGGTGGTGTAGTGATATTTCATTTTCCATTCTATTTCTGTGCAACCTAATATATGGCTTTAGCTTTCATTAAAGATCTGTGGGGTTTTACCATTTGTAAGGATTTTTTTTAATCCATATTTATTGTTAGGTTGTGACTCAAATTCCAAGTGATGTGGAATTGTAGTTCATAGAGGAAGCCTAAATAACTTTGGCTTAGAAGTCTAGATAGATAAGGGATCAAATTTTATCATGTATTGAGAGTTTGTTCTAGAAAAGGACTTTGAGATTAAGGACTCTACTCCATCCATACCTGCAAGTTTTGGATCCTATAAATATTGCACAAGGTGTAGGTTCTTTAAAGGCTCAATATAACAATTATATCATGGTTGTATATATTAGAAACTTGAGAGAATTGTTTAGATTTAGATTGAGAAAATTATATCTCGTATAGACAATTTTAGTTTCTTGGTATAATAAATTTACCTTTTCTTCCACAAAAATCTTGTTTGCTATGTGATCCATTATTTTTTGGATTGCCATATTTTCTCTTTTTTAATTATTTGGGCGGATCTCAATAAATTGATATCAGAGCTATTTTGTTTTCAATAAAGTGACTTCAGATTTGATCCGAATTATAATTAGAACTCTCAACCATATTGTTACCTGATACCATTCTCAATTCAATCAGTAATAATTTATTTTTTATATTTATGATATAAAATCATCCTAATGCATACATTTAATT